TGTATTTATATTTGTATGTTTATGTGTTCGTGTACACGATCTGCTTTGTAATCTCATTCTCTCCGGCAAAAAAATACATCCGTAAGACCTATAAGACCAAAAACGTTTTGGACACCCATATTAATTCTGTGATAATGCTAAACCATGTGGATATTCGGTCCCAACTCAGATTTGGTTGCCAATGTCCGTGGTACTGAGCAGTATCTCACGAGAAAATAAGAGGCTGGGCCCATCGATATGTAAACTGTCTTATTGCCAGGAAAACTTGCTAGTTAATCATATTTATTGGATGGCGGAGAGACATGATCAACGCTGACAAGGGCGATCACATTTTAAACCATAGTTTGTAAAAGTTTAAGTAAACCATGCATTGCAGCAGTCAAGCAATGATACGAGACGACATAATTTCGCAGCGCATCCTTGGCCCACTACTAGTAGAATTGGACACTGTGCAACACCCGCAGTTTGCTTTTTTCTTGAAACCTGTCATTGTATGTACCGAGTGGGGTTGTTTTGTATTAAAGCTTTGAGGATAAACGCGGACAGTAGGCAAGGATAATGAATTAAGAAGACGTCCAATGGGATTTCTGATACGCTGAATGTAAAAAATAGATCTACATATTGTATACACAATGGTAGACTTCGCAAATGGTGTGAACAATACTAGAACCGCTCACCTCAGAATGATGTCCTCCATATCCTCATCAAGGTCATCACTTTTCTCAATCTACAGGCATCGAGTGTAATGTTCGTTCGCGAAGGTAACGTCGTGAAATGAGTATGATGGGCGATGTGAATGGCGTTTCTATTCACGAGAGTGTCGGGCGGCAGCAATGAGCAGCAGAAGCCCTCATAAAAAATAGTCTCGTATACAAAAGCGAAAACTGGAGCGGTTTCGCTAATATTCCGCCTGCAGACCGCCAACTTGGTACCGACAACAAAACGGTTACATTCCGCAGGTCATACCATATGACATAAATCGTTCATGGCGAACGACCCAATGGTAGCATCCTCGTGATTGTCTTTGATGTCCAGGTTGACTATGTGTACAGTTTCCATTCCGCCCTCATATTCATCAAAAGCTGAGAACCATTTGTATTGGATCGCACAACGTGAATGCTATAGCATTAGTAGGAGTGCTGCGACGAGTACGTGTGCTTCAACAAGACTACCTGCCTAGGCACCTTTCCGGATGTACGCGGTGACACCCTACAATGTGCTGTGAGGCCCTGGGAATGTATGCATACTTCTCACCACGCTATGGGATCGATGCAGTGTGTGGCAGCACTACGCATTGCTTACAAGCATACAGTTCTAGTGACACATAAACATCCTTAGGAAATAAAAAATCATGTTGCCAATATTGAAGCTGGCACCCCATTTTCAGCTTCAGTCGCAAAAGGATAGTAACTAAACTGCTATCATCCCATTTCGAAGACATTGTATCCAGCAATCTGGCTTTTATTATGTTTACACCGTCAAGATATACTTCTGAAAAACAGGACTATACACAAAGGGAGAGATCCCCCTCCGGGGGCAAATTCACTGGTGATCAATCACAAACACACCGAAAGTATATACACCAACAGGACATGCCCAACGAAGTAGATCAAAGTGATGTTTAAGTGCATTGTATATACATAGGATAACATACTGCTCAGCTACCTTGCACCCATTCATCCAATACACAACCCAAAATTTGCAATTTCCAGCGAACTAGCCGTCGAATAATCACATCGGCGTGCGTGTGGTGTGTACAGGCGTCCAGCGTAGTGCCACACACCTTGTAGTATTTGGTCGAATACACGCTCTTCACACGACACTATAATGTCGAATGCTTCCACAGGCATGGTTTCTTGAAATCTCTCCGGGTGGTCTTTACACTTCCGATTCCTGTCTAACATCATCAGCACTCCATTTGAGGTGTACAGCTGAGGGTTCTGTGCTTCCAAATCCCTATACATTGTGTCGTAAGGCACTCCAAAGTCGTAAACGTTCGGCCTGTCAGCCGCTTCACCGGGGAGCTTCACTTGTGTTCCAGTTCCGTATGATTTCACCCGAAATCCTTTTTTCCTGGGTAGTATAAAACAATATAATAATCGCAGTGAGTGGTTCGGTCACTGAAGTATCAAACACACGACAAGTTAGAAGGTTGACCCACGTAGTTTTACTACCACAACATTTCAAGTTACAGAGACTCACTATAATATATATATATATATATATATATATAACACACACACACACATAT